AATGTAAGGGACATTCTTCCCACTGACCCCCCAATGTAAGGGACATTCTTCCCACTGACCCCCCAATGTAAGGACATTCTTCCCACTGAGAATTGTACAGCAGCATGGAGTGCAGCACTTCCTAGGCTTTCCATTATGGGTGGAGTCTGACTGGCAGAGTTGATGTGGCTCCGCCCACCTGGTGTATATACAGTGTATATATATGATATATATATATATATATATAAATGGAGACGCAGTAGCTGCAGCGCCCGCCCCCCTCATTGTTGCCTCATTAGTCGAGTGTAATCCCTCTCTGCCTTCCTGCCAGCTACACAGATTACGGATCTATTCGGCTGAACAGGTCCCAGGCCCGCGGCATGCTGGGCACTCCACCATCCCATAGGATATAGGTCAGGACACAAAGATGGAGGCGACCCGACGACGGGGCCTGGTGCATTGTGGGAGGCAGAAGTCAGGGCCAATATCGCTGGTGATTCCAGGACTGCAGAGACGGCTGGCCATCACTTCTACTTTCCTGAATCCAGAGTAACCAGCCGTGGGAAAATCTGTTGATTCTGCTCCTCGCCCTGAATTCAGAACTCCGGGATCTGGGGATGGATCTCTGAATCAGTCACTTCCATAATGGACTCATTGTTACATTGTAGCAGATTCCGCAGTAACATTGTCCTTGGAAATGGAATCCAAGACTGAACTCTCTGGGCGGCTTTCAGGAGAGTGGTGAAGGGTCAGTCCAGTGTTCATTGCTTGCTGGTGCCCCCATCGGGGAGATGGACCGTCACTTCCTGTCCCAGGTGACCACACACAAGGGGGAGGGGGGGGGGGATTTAGTCGAACTTGATTTGATGTCAAAAGTGATTTTGACTTCCCCGAAATCAGCTTCTAATTTCTCCATGTGACTTCGCCGGACCTGATGCTCCATGATCCCCCATCTACCTAGAGACCCCATCCCCCGATGCTCCATGATCCCCAATCTACCTAGAGACCCCCAACCCCCGATGCTCCATGATCCCCCATCTACCTAGAGACCCCCATTCCCCGAAGCTCCATGATCCATCTACCTAGAGATGCCCATCCCCCGAAGCTCCATGATCCCCCATCTACCTAGAGACCCCCATTCCCCGAAGCTCCATGATCCATCTACCTAGAGATGCCCATCCCCCGAAGATCCATGATCCCCCATCTACCTAGAGAACCCTAACCCCCCGAAGCTCCATGATCCTCCATCTACCTAGAGACTCCCATCCCCCGAAGCTCCACGATCCCCCATCTCCCTAGAGACCCCCAACCCTCGATGTTCCATGATCCCCCATCTACCAAGAGACCCCCATCCCCCCGAAGCTCCACGATCCCCCATCTACCTAGAGACCCCCAACCCCCGATGCTCCATGATCCCCCATCTACCTAGAGATCCCCAACCCCCGATGCTCCACGATCCCCCATCTACCTAGAGATCCCCAACCCCCGATGCTCCACGATCCCCCATCTACCTAGAGACCCCCAACTAGTATGTAATGTTAACTTCCTTCAGGTTGGTCACGTGATGCCGCATGTGATGACATCATCTCCCTGCACCATTACACCATGAATACAAGAGGCTGTGGTGACGCCCACTTGGGGTCGGCCCCTGACATCCTCTCCTCACCGCATGTCCTCACCGCATGCCCTCATGCCCTCACCGCATGTCCTCACCGCATGCCCTCACCGCATGCCCTCACCGCATGCCCTCACCGCAAGTCCTCACCGCATGTCCTCACCGCATGTCCTCACCTCACCACATTGTCATATGTCCTCACCATATGTCCTCATTGCATGTCCTCACCGCATGTCCTCACCCTCACATGTCCTCACACTGTCCTCATGTATGTCCTCACCATAATGTCCTCATTGCATCACCATGTCCTGTCCTCACTGCATGTCCTCACTGTCCTCATGTCCTCACCACATGTCCTCATGTCCTCACCATGTCCTCATGCATGTCCTCCTCACTGCATGTCCTCACCACATGTCCTCACTGTATGTCCTCACCATACCTCATTGCATCCTCACTGTATGTCCTCACTTGCATGTCCTCACTCCTCACTGCATGTCCTCACACCGCATGTCCTCACTGTATGTCCTCGTCACTGTCTTTTGAGCTGCGTGACTCTGGGCATCATTAAACCTGCACAGATCGGCAGGGGACAGGCCCCAATCACAGCACAGATCGGCAGGGGACAGACGCCAATCACAGCACAGATCACACAGCACAGATCGGCAGGGGACAGACGCCAATCACAGCACAGATCGGCGGGGGACAGGCCCCAATCACAGCACAGATCGGGGGGACAAGCGCCAATCACAGATAGATCGAAATCAAATCATAAAAATTTCATGGACAAGATATAGAAAAAAAAAAAATAAGAAAAGATAAAAAATAAAAGATGTTACGGCGAGTAAATAGATACGTAAGACGTCACGCTTTAGAATGACGCACGCCCGAGGAACGGCGCCAACCTACAGTACCCAGAAATGTCCATCGATGACACCTTATAAAGCCTTTCCCGAGTACCAGTGTAGCGTTACACAGCGGTAGAATTATCGTTCTCGCTCTGATGTTCGCGGCAAAACCTCACGTGTGCGGTGCGATGGGCGTGTGCGGGACTGATGTTTGCGGGGATACCTCACGTGCGTGTGTATAGGCGTGTGCGGGACTGATGTTTGTGGGGCGACCTCACGTGCGTGTGTATAGGCGTGTGCTGGACTGATGTTTGCGGGGATACCTCACGTGCGTGTGTATAGGCGTGTGCGGGACTGATGTTTGCGGGGATACCTCACGTGCGTGTGTATAGGCGTGTGCGGGACTGATGTTTGCGGGGATACCTCACGTGCGTGTGTATAGGCGTGTGCTGGACTGATGTTTGCGGGGCGACCTCACGTGCGTGTGTATAGGCGTGTGCGGGACTGATGTTTGCGGGGATACCTCACGTGCGTGTGTATAGGCGTGTGCGGGACTGATGTTTGCGGGGATACCTCACGTGCGTGTGTATAGGCGTGTGCGGGACTGATGTTTGCGGGGATACCTCACGTGCGTGTGTATAAGCGTGTGCTGGACTGATGTTTGCGGGGATACCTCACGTGCGTGTGTATAGGCGTGTGCGGGACTGATGTTTGCGGGGATACCTCACGTGCGTGTGTATAGGCGATTGCGGGACTGATGTTTGCGGGGATACCTCACGTGCGTGTGTATAGGCGTGTGCGGGACTGATGTTTGCGGGGATACCTCATGTGCGTGTGTATAGGCGTGTGCGGGACTGATGTTTGCGGGGATACCTCACGTGCGTAGTGTATAGGCGTGTGCTGGACTGATGTTTGCGGGGCGACCTCACGTGCGTGTGTATAGGCGTGTGCGGGACTGATGTTTGCGGGGATACCTCACGTGCGTGTGTATAGGCGTGTGCGGGACTGATGTTTGCGGGGATACCTCACGTGCGTGTGTATAGGCGTGTGCGGGACTGATGTTTGCGGGGATACCTCACGTGCGTGGTGTATAGGCGTGTGCGGGACTGATGTTCACGGCGATACCTCATGTGCGCGGTGCGATCGCCGTGTGCGGGACTGATGTTCGCGGCGATACCTCGCGTGCGCGGTGCGATCGCCGTGTGCGGGACTGATGTTCGCGGCGATACCTCGCATGCGCAGTGCGAACGCCGTGTGCGGGATTGATGTTCGCGGCGATACCTCACGTGCGTGTGTATAGGCGTGTGCGGGACTGATGTTTGCGGGGATACCTCACGTGCGTGGTGTATAGGCGTGTGCGGGACTGATGTTCACGGCGATACCTCATGTGCGCGGTGCGATCGCCGTGTGCGGGACTGATGTTCGCGGCGATACCTCGCGTGCGCGGTGCGATCGCCGTGTGCGGGACTGATGTTCGCGGTGATACCTCGCATGCGCGGTGCGAACGCCGTGTGCGGGATTGATGTTCGCGGCGATACCTCACGTGCGCGGTGCGATCGCCGTGTGCGGGACGTTCGTCTTTGCATGACCGACCGCAGGGAGGCTTGGCGCTTTAAAATTTTTTTTTTTAATTATTTCTTTTTTTTTTTAAACATTGTACCTTTGATTTTTTAAAATCAACTTTATTGCTATCTCAAGGGATGAACAACAGATAAATCCCTGGAAGGGTGTCACTGACACCTTCCTCCTCGGATGATGTCAGGCGGTCTGGCTGCGTCCAGCACATGCAATGTATCGGCGTGAAATTCGTTCTCCATGATTTTTGTTGTATTTGTTACATTCGATGTCTTATTTTTTTTTGGTTTAGTGGTGAGGAACACACAGAGCGGCACATGACGGCCGTCACGGAACATGAAGAACAATGGAGATCAGTCTGAACAAATATCGGGAGTGAAGGCGCACAAATGCGGACGGACATTTCTCCTCCAGAGCAGCTGAATTGCCAGAGGCGTCCAGCTGGGTCTTGGAGCCTGAGGGGGGTCTGTGAAGGAGACCCCCGTCCCCCGCTGCCTACCAGGAGCCGCCTCCTACTGAAAGATCCTTCAATCCTGTAATACAGCGCAACTCACACTGTGAGACCGACGGACCAATCACAGCGTCAGAAGGATTCCAGGACAGTAATGGAGGAAAATGATAGAACCAAACTTCTGATACTATTGTAATGCTTCAATGGAAATGGAACTGTCATTTCTCCCCCTCCAGTCCTGCACAGGTGTACCGGGCTCCTCCCCTTCAGTCCTGCACAGGTGTATTGGCTCCTCCCCTTCAGTCCTGCACAGGTGTATTGGCTCCTCCCCCTTCAGTCTTGCACAGGTGTACCGGATCCTCCCCTTCAGTCTTGCACAGGTGTACTGGCTCCTCCCCTTCAGTCTTGCACAGGTGTATCGGCGCCTCCCCTTCAGTCTTGCACAGGTGTACCAGCTCCTCCCCTTCAGTCTTGCACAGGTATACTGGCTCCTCCCCTTCAGCCTTGCACAGGTATATCGGCTCCTCCCCTTCAGTCTTGCACAGGTATACTGGCTCCTCCCCTTCAGTCTTGCACAGGTGTATCGGCTCCTCCCCTTCAGTCTTGCACAGGTATATCGGCTCCTCCCCTTCAGTCTTGCACAGGTGTACTGGCTCCTCCCCTTCAGTCTTGCACAGGTGTACTGGCTCCTCCCCTTCAGTCTTGCACAGGTGTATCGGCGCCTCCCCTTCAGTCTTGCACAGGTGTACCAGCTCCTCCCCTTCAGTCTTGCACAGGTATACTGGCTCCTCCCCTTCAGCCTTGCACAGGTATATTGGCTCCTCCCCTTCAGTCTTGCACAGGTATACTGGCTCCTCCCCTTCAGTCTTGCACAGGTGTATCGGCTCCTCCCCTTCAGTCTTGCACAGGTATATCGGCTCCTCCCCTTCAGTCTTGCACAGGTATATTGGCTCCTCCCCTTCAGTCTTGCACAGGTGTACCGACTCCTCCCCTTCAGTCTTGCACAGGTGTACCGGCTCCTCCCCTTCACTCTTGCACAGGTGTACTGGCTCCTCCCCTTCAGTCTTGCACAGGTGTACTGGCTCCTCCCCTTCAGTCTTGCACAGGTGTACTGGCTCCTCCCCTGGTTACTCTGATATCTCTGCACACTGCACTGCACACGGCCCGCCTCTTTCATTCATTGGATTTCAAGTCTTTCAATCATGGAGGCTCAATATCACATGTGGGTGGTACCTATGCAAATACAGCCTGCCTAGGAACGCCCACTCCTCCAGACTGACACCCACCCATCAAGGCATTTTGATATTTGCATAACTCCTCCCACTGCGTGCATCAGGACTTTGATGCTCTGCAGAGGAGTACTGAGGTTGGGGGCTGGGATGTTTTCAGTAAGCTATGTGCAGCCCCCTACCAGCCCCTCCCACCAGCCATGATCTGCTTGCATTGCATACAGAAGCACTGAGGCCCAGTGATGACATCACAGGGTGTACAATAAGGTATGTACGATAATGGAAATGTTAGCATTTTGAAGAGGAAAAAAAAGGAGGAAAACAGGAAAGGCAAAATGTCAGCACATGAAACTTCGGCTCCCAGTCTGTGCATTGCTGTGCGTTGTGCTGTAACGCAGGTGTGCTGCAAGGTGTCCTGGGGTGGCGTGCAAAGTGATGGGCGTGGTGCAGGAAAGCCCCTTCGCTGTGTAAATGGGTTGTGAGATCGATCACTGAGGCAATATAAAAGTCGTTGTGTCCATCCCATGTCGTGTACTCCGGTGATAACTATGCCGTCACCATGACTACTACTACCAAGTTGTGTCATGTGACCCTCATCACCTTCCTGATGGTGGGGGGCGGGGTTACAGGACACTGTGCAGACACACCCTGTGCCTGGATTCCAGAGTCTGTCCAGCCTGAGGAGCAGGGGGCGTGTTTAAGAGGCAGGCTGTAATTGAAAGGGGGCGTGTTCAAAAGGCAGGCTGTGATTGGGAGGGGGCGTGTTTAAGAGGCAGGCTGTAATTGAGAAGGGCGTGTTCAAAAGGCAGGCTGTGATTGGGAGGGGGCGTGTTCAAAAGGCAGACTGTGATTGGGAAGGGGCGTGTTCAAAAGACAGACTGAGATTGGGAAGGGGCGTGTTCAAAAGGCAGGCTGTCAAAAGGCAGGCTGTGATTGGGAGGGGGTGTGTTCAAGAGGCAGGCTGTGACTGGGAGGGGGCGTGTTCAAGTGATAGTCTGTGATTGTGAGGGGGGGCGTGTTCAAGAAACGGGCTGTGATTGGGAGGGGGCGTGTTTAAGAGGCAGGCTGTAATTGAGAAGGGCGTGTTCAAAAGGCAGGCTGTGATTGGGAGGAGGCGTGTTCAAAAGGCAGGCTGTGATTGAAATGGGGCGTGTTCAAGAGGGCTGTAATTGAGAGGGAGTGTGTTCAAAAGGCAGGCTGTGATTGGGAGGGGTCGTGTTCAGGAGGCAGACTTTGATTGGGCGGGGGCATGTTCAAGAGCCAGGCTGTGATTGGGAGGGGGCTTGTTCAAAAGGCAGGCTGTGATTAGGAAGGGGGCGTGTTCAAAAGGCAGGCTGTGATTGGGAGGGGCGTGTTCAAAAGGCAGACTGTGATTGGGAAGGGGCGTGTTCAAAAGGCAGGCTGTGATTGGGAGGGGGTGTGTTCAAGAGGCAGGCTGTGACTGGGAGGGGGAGTGTTCAAGTGATAGTCTGTGATTGTGAGGGGGCGTGTTCAAGAAACGGGCTGTGATTGGGAGGGGGCGTGTTCAAGAGACGGGCTGTGATTGGGAGGGGGGCGTGTTCAAGAGGCAGGCTGTGATTGGGAGGGGGTGTGTTCAAGAGGCAGGCTGTAATCGTTTCGGGGTGGGGGGGTGTTAGAGGCAGGCTGTGATTAGTTCGGGGCGGGGGGTGTCAGAGGCAGGCAGTGATTGGTCTGGGAAAGGAAGGGGGGGCAGAGGCAGGCGGTGATTGCTTTGGGAAAGGGGGGGTGTCAGAGGCAGGCTGTGATTGGAGGGAGGTGGCATGTGTCAGAGGCAGGCTGTGATTGCTTCGGGAAAGGGGGGGTGTCAGAGGCAGGCTGTGATTGCTTCGGGAAAGGGGGGGTGTCAGAGGCAGGCTGTGATTGGAGGGAGGTGGCATGTGTCAGAGGCAGGCTGTGATTGGTCAGGGGGTTGGGTGGCTGAACATCCACTGAACAGGCATGCTATGTGTCTGCACTGTGTCCTGTAGCTTTGAATGGGCAGCCAAAGGATGAAAACTGACCACCTTCCACAGATCAGCTTCTGTACTTTGTGTGGTCAGTTCAGAAGAAGGAAGCAAGGTGACTGGCAGGATCAACCAGGTACTGCAGATGGAAGAGTGACATAACAATGATAGAGACAATGATAGAGACTCTGATTTGTAGAACACACAGAAAACAATAAATATTTATGGTAACATCCACTTTAAGGAGGAAGCGGCTCCTGCCTATGTAATGGGTAGATATGGCGCTTCCATGTAGACACAGACTATACAATGCATCAGTTTGGATGTTGCTGAACCCCGAGGAATGAAGATTTCCAGGGACACAGAATCCCAGGACTGTCCCTGGAATGGGAGGGGCAGCTGGCGGCTCTGTATATGGGTCCCTATACCCAGAACCAATCTCCCGGAGCAACACGGATTTCTCATTTTTGTCAGAATTTGGGGACGGCTCCGGATGGCACCCACAGATCGGCAGATGTGACACAACGCATTTGGGGAGTCTCTCTGACTCCCACTCCACCTCCTCTAATAAGGAGCAGCTCAGCCAATCACAGAAGGCAGCGCTGATTAATTGTGCGCTGAATGTCTTCGCTATTTATATCCGCTGCGCTGAGACATCTCAACAGGTCGGAGGAGCGCGGCACACAATCACACGGAAATAGGTTAATTAAACATGATTCAGAGCAAAGCAGGAAACTGCGCAGAGAATCCAGGAGAAGGAAGACGGCGATTCCAAGAGAACAAACCCAGCGGATTCCAGGGATTGGCTGATGTGTGGGGGGCTCTGACAACATGGAGATCAAATACGACCACAGCGGGAGTCAATGCAAACAGCAACCACCGCCCCATGGTAGAATGGAGAATGAAGTGTCGTCACCCATAGCAACCAGAGTCAAAGAATTGTAGTCAGGTGACCAAAAACAATGACTTGGGGATCCCAGAACAATGACACCCTGACACTTGGGGGTCCCAGAACAATGACATCCTGACACTTGGGGGTCCCAGAACAATGACATCCTGACACTTGGGGGTCCCAGAACAATGGCACTTGGGGGTCCCAGAACAATGACACTTGGGGGTCCCAGAACAATGACACCCTGACACTTGGGGGTCCCAGAACAATGACATCCTGACACTTGGGGGTCCCAGAACAATGACACTTGGGGGTCCCAGAACAATGACACTTGGGGGTCCAAGAACAATGACACCCTGACACTTGGGGGTCCCAGAACAATGACACCCTGACACTTGGGGGTCCCAGAACAATGACACCCTGACACTTGGGGGTCCCAGAACAATGACACCCTGACGCTTGGGTGGTTCCAGAACAATCACACCCTGACACGGGGGAATCCCAGAACAATGACTCCCTGACACTTGGGGGTCTCAGAACAGTGACATCCTGACACTGGGGGTCCCAGAACAATGACACCCTGACAGTTGGGGGTCCCAGAACAATGACACCCTGACACTTGGGGGTCCCAGAACAATGACACCCTGACACCTGGGGGTTCCAGAACAATGGCACCCTGACCTGCTTGGGGGTTCCAGAACAATGACACCCTGACACTTGGGGGTCCTAGAACAATGACACCCTGACACTTGGGGCTCCTAGAACAATGACACCCTGACACTTGGGGCTCCTAGAACAATGACACCCTGACACTTGGGTGGTTCCAGAACAATGACACTACCACTGACACTTGGGGTGGTTCCAGAACAATGGCTCCCTGACACTTGGGGGTCCAGAACAATGACACCCTGACACTTGGGGGTCCCAGAACAATGACACACTGACACTTGGGGGTTCCAGAACAATGACACCCTGACACTTGGGGGCGTTCCAGAACAATGACACCCTGACACTTGGGGGTCCCAGAACAATGACACCCTGACACTTGGGGGTTCCAGAACAATGACACCCTGACACTTGGGGCGTTCCAGAACAATGACACCCTGACACTTGGGGGTCCCAGAACAATGGGGCTCCTAAACAATCACCTGACACTTGGGGTCCAGAACAATGACACACTGACACTTGGGGGTCCCAGAACAATGACACCCTGACACTTGGGGGTCCCAGAACAATGACACCCTGACACTTGGGGGTCCCAGAACAATGACACCCTGACACTTGGGGGTTCCAGAACAATGACACCCTGACACTTGGGGGTCCCAGAACAATGACACCCTGACACTTGGGGGTCCTAGAACAATGGCTCCCTGACACTTGGGGGTCCCAGAACAGTGACATCCTGACACTTGGGGGTCCCAGAACAATGACACCCTGACACTTGGGGGTCCTAGAACAATGGCTCCCTGACACTTGGGGGTCCCAGAACAATGACATCCTGACACTTGGGGGTCCCAGAACAATGACACCCTGACACTTGGGGGTCCCAGAACAATGACACCCTGACACTTGGGGGTCCCAGAACAATGACACCCTGACACTTGGGGGTCGCAGAACAATGATACACTAAACACTTGGGGGTCCCAGAACAATGACACCCTGACACTTGGGGGTCCCAGAACAATGGCTCCCTGACACTTGGGGGTCCCAGAACAATGACACCCCCTGACACTTGGGGGTCCCATTACAATGACACCCTGACACTTGGGGGTCCCAGAACAATGACACCCTGACACTTGGGGGTCCCAGAACAATGACACCGTGACACTTGGGGGTCCCAGAACAGTGACATCCTGACACTTGGGGGTCCGGAACAATGACACCCTGACACTTGGGGGTCCCAGAACAATGACACCCTGACACTTGGGGGTCCCAGAACAATGACACCCTGATAATTCAGTTTAACGTAGCAACAAATAGGGAGCAGTTTGTTATCTCTGGTTTGGGGGTCTGTATAGGCAGGTTGGGGGTCCCCCATTTGTGTAGAATCGTTTCTGCGGATTCGGCACTAAATGCGGTGAAATCCTCTTCCTGGGATACGGCAATTCCCATCCCTCCCCCCGCCCCCGCATCACTGCCATTGTTAATGCTCTGCAATTAGCTGACAATTAATTAGAAAGTTACGAAATATTAAAGGCGGCGTGCGGCGTCACGTACGGGAGCGAACCTATAGATGGCGGCTCCCGATCCACGGATCGCACCCCG